TCCCTGCAGAGGGGTTGGACTGGATGGACTTGAAATATCCCTTCTCGCCCAAACCAGTTTATGGATCTACAATTCTATAAAAACCCCAGTTCAGTCATCTTGACTGTTCATAGACCCCTGGTACAACTTGAGGCCGTTTCCTCTTGTCCTGTCACTTGTTCCTTGGGAGAAGAGCCTGACCCCCACCTGGATCCAGCCTCCTGTCAGGGAGCTGTGGAGAGCCAGAAGGTCTCCCCTGAGCCTCCTTTGCACCAGGCTCAGCACCCCCAGGTCCCTCAGCTGCTCCTCACCACACTTGGGCTCTAGACCCTTCCCCAGCTTCGTTGCTCTACTCTGGACACGCTCCAGACCCCAAGGTCCTTCTTGCGGTGAGGGGCCCAAAACTGAGCCCAGGATTTGAGATGTGACCTCCCCAGTGCTGAGTCCAGGGGGAGGATCACTTCTCTGCTGGCTTTTGGCACCTGACCAGGTGGCTTTCCCATTCCTGCCACAGCAGCAAGAAGGGATGAACAGGATGTCCCAGTAGCTGTTGGGACACCACCCAGCTTTAAACCCTCTTGGGCTGTCTGCCACACGAACCTCTTCCTAACGTTACTTAGGAAGGGCTAATTTTAGAATCTGATGTCTTTATTCATGCTGTTCTGTTTAATAATCTGAAGTCTGAGCAGGACATTAGTCCTGTGTCTCCCCCAAGCTTTCTGAAATACAGTAATAAAAAATAGTGGCTGGGAGATTCTCTTATTTAATATACTTGGGATAAAAATGATCTGATTCTGATCGTTTAGCAAGGGCCATCCTTAAGATCTTGAGATCAGGGCAGAAGCAATTTTCTCACCTCTCTGGCATGCACAGAACACAACTGAAATGATACACACAGACCTATTTTTAAACATGAATATTTACTAACATAAATAAACCGTGTTTTATAACAAAAGGCACAGATTTTCAACTATAAACAATGGGAAAATATTTACAATTTGCACATACATAATCAAAACAGCAAGTGCACAATTGGTCACTTCAGATCTTCTTTTCTATATTTTGCGATTTAGTTCCTTCCAAGCAAGTAATTTAATGAATTCTGCAACGTCCAAATTGGTTGGTTTTTTTTCCAGAAAAACTGCTACCAATGCCAGAGAAGAGAGTTTATTAAACTGAATAATTTAGTAGCACAAGTTTTCAAATGGAGACAGTGTTGCTAACTTCTTCATATTGGATAATAAAATAAGGGTAGCTCTGATCATCGTTAAAAATGACAAAAATTTGAGGCTCAAAGTAATTGTCCACGCAGGAGTCGTAGAGGTCGCTGGTGATGCTGCCGGGGTTCACCGGCGGAGGTCTCCTCATGGTGTGGTTGCCCACCGTGTACCTTCCTGTCAGGACTTTGGCCAGGAACATGTAATGAACTCCTTTGGGTGACCTTTTGGAGAAGTTGTGGGAATAACTTGCCTTCCTGGCAAAGTAACTGCCCTGTCCAAACATGGTGGCATGCTTCCCACAGACGCGTGGGTCAAAGTTGTGTTTGCAGATTCCATCCACCGCTTCCTGGGAGGTGCCGTGGAACAAATGCCTTTCGTTCATTATCCTGTCCAGGCCAGTCATTTTTTTGGACATATACTCCTTTTTCCTGGAATAAAGAGCAGAAAGCGAGGATGAGTATTCCTTGCAGACCTGCAAGGGAAAAGCTGTTTTCACGACAGCTCTTCTATCAGTGTTGCCCTCTGGAAAAGGAGATGTGAAAACGTTTTGGTACAGAGAGCAAAGTGGGTTGTCCACTTTCAAACAGATCTGTTGTGTGAAATACTTTTGAAAGGCCCTGAGCTGATACTGCTGTAGGCAGCTGGAGAAGCACCAGCTTGTCTTTGCCTGTAATTCACCTCAGATGCGGATGGAAATCGTGCTCAGAGTGAAAACAAGGGCTGTGCAAAAATCAAATCCCTCTCCAGCGACAGAAGAGGTGACGGGGAGGAATTACTGAGACACAGGATGGGGGAATCAGGGAGTCGTTTTGCTTGGAAGAGACCTCTAAGGGCACAGATTCCAACCGTTCCCCCAGCACTGCCAGGTCCCCACTGACCCATGTCCCTCAGCACCACATCTCCACGGCTTGGAAACCCCTCCAGGGATGGGGACTCTACCACTGCCCTGGGCAGCCTGGCACAGCCCTGGACAACCCTCAATGGGAAGAAATTGTTCCTCAGTTCCAACCTCAACCTCCCGTGGGGCAATTTCAGGCCATTTCCTCTTGTCCTGTCATTTGTTCCTTGGGAGAAGAGCCTGACCCCCACCTGGCTCCAGCCTCCTGTCAGGGAGCTGTGGAGAGCCAGAAGGTCTCCCCTGAGCCTCCTTTGCTCCAGGCTCAGCACCCCCAGGTCCCTCAGCTGCTCCTCCACACACTTGGGCTCTAGACCCTTCCCCAGCTTCGTTGCCCTTCTCTGGCCACACTCCAGCCCCTCAGTGTCCTTCTTGGAGTGAGGTGCCCAAAAAGATGCTCTGGACCAGCACGAGTATGTAAGAAAGTCAGTCTCTGCTGGCACAGCCCATCCCACAACTTCTCCTGAGACTGCATTTCTTGAGAAGAGAGAAAGAATCCACAATCTAATTTCATAGCAGGTTCAAAGAGGTCTCTGGTTTGAACAGGACTGACCAGCACAGGATTGTAGCTGTGAGACCACGGAACACCCTGGGCTGCAGTGTTCTGGGGAACCAAGGCACTCGTGGCTATCTTTGATACATAGATTATTTGAGGAAAACAATTCCTCCTAGTTCAGCTTGAAAGTGAACTGCAAGATTTTTTGACTAGATAGCCTAGACTTATTTGGAAGTTTCTGTGAAGATACATTTTACAGAAGTCATCAGTAGATTGTAAATTAAACCTCTCACACAGGAAATTTCAGGGTAAGATATTTTTCAGATAATGTTGTTCAACTGAATAAGCTCCTTTTCTTCAGAAAACCCAGAATGTATGTATTCTATTTAATGGTCGATGCCTATTTTGCAGCTCAAATTACATATTTTAAGCTATTTTTCCACTATTGCAAAAGAATGGTATTTCCATGATCTCACCTTTTATATTTCTCCCAAAGGAACTGGTTCTGCACTCTCAGGATTTTCAAAACTTTGTATTTGGTCTCTGGCACAGTCTTGTGAAACAGGTTATAAATGGTTCTATAGCTTTTATCTTCCTTTGGAACAGGCACTTGGATGAAGTCCTGAGAGGGATCCATGTTAATCCAGGTTTCAGGATAGAAGTTTGGAGAGGTAACAGCAGTTGGAGATAAGACATGTGAGGAAGCTGGTTCAGCTGATGAAGGTGGTACTGGAGAGGTGCCACCCAAGGTCCTAATTGGGGAAAGAGAAAAAAGGTTGTGCTTCAACATCCACAATCAAAAGAGCTTATAATCCCATTGATTTCAGCACCAACGGATTTTAAGCAGATTGCTGGTTTTCGGGTCCAGAACACACCTTTAGTGTTTGTTCAAAACAAACCCACCAGCTCTTTCTGCCATTTTAGTAACTCCCCCATCCACACAAACTAAAAACAAGCCCTTCACTTCCAGGGCTGCTGTTCCACGCAGGGAAATCGTACTGCCTGGTGCTGTTCAAGAGCCTCTGTTGTCACTACTCACATCCTGGGGTGGGGTTACAAGCTACAGGCTGGCACAACAACACCAAATGCAAGGACTTGGTATGGCACCTATCAAGCATTAGTGGTTTTATTGTAGCAAGTAAGACATCAGAGTATGACAAGCTTAATAATCATCGAATCGTTAAGGTTGGAAAACACCTCCAAGATCATCAAGTCCGACAGTCAACCCAACACTCCCATGGCCACTAAACCATGTCCCCAAGTGCCACGTCTACACGTTTTTTGAACCCCTCCAGGGATGGAGACTCCCAGCCCCTCCCTGGCCAGCCTGTCCCAAGGCCTCACCACTCTGCCAGAAAAGAAATTCTTCCCAATATCCAATCGAAACCTCCCCTGGCACAATCTGAACCCATTTCCTCTCATCCCATTGCTGGTTCCTTGGGATACGAGCCCGACCCCCACCTCACTCCAACCTCCTGTCAGGGAGCTGTAGAGAGCAAGAAGGTCTTCCCTCAGCCTCCTCTTCTCCAGGCTAAACAAACCCAGTTCCCTCAGCTGCTGCTCATAAGATGTGTTCTATGAGGCATGTTCTACATGTGTCTCTAATAACATAGCAACATTCGACCTAATTTCCTTAGAATATAACCCAAGGAGTAGAAACACAGACTTGTGTCCAGCAGGAAAAACTCCAAACAGGAACATTTCAGAGGCCAAACTTGTCACCGTTTCCCAGCCTTTTCTGTGCAGAGGAGGAGATGGTTTTGGTGCTACCCCATGTCGTGCTCTCGTTTGCATCTGCACCGGCCAGCTGTCGATTTGCATTTACAGTTGGTTATTTCCATGTGAGAGAGCAGCCCCTCCTCATGGGAATGCTGCCAGGGAAGGAGTCGAGCAGGGCTGAGGGGGAAGCACCAGGACAGACACCAGTAACATCCAGTTAAGGACACCAATGTGGGTGTGGTAGGACATCGTTTCTTAACAAACGCTTGCACCTCGGTGGAATTTTTCACACTCTTGAAGCTGCTAAATTTAGATGGAGAGTGTGGCATGCGTGGCTTATGTTCACCTGGCTCTAATCTGAGCAAGCCAGCCCTCCCCAGCCCAATAATCCCTCCTTACTGGGGTTCTGCCTCCTACGACAGTGCAAATACTCCCAACACCCATAGCTTGCAGGTTCAGGCCCTGGTTTTCACACTTGAAGAACACAGCTCTCCAGGTCATGCAAGCTGCTTTCAGTTGCAAGAATACATGGAGCTGTCTCAAGATTTCACCAGATGAGTATTTTACCAAAGTATTTTGGTAGGACAAGCTGCTGCTGGCTCCAGGACCGACCTGCAGTGGATGCAGATGGGTGAGGTGCAGGCAGAAGCAGGCAGCTCTCGTTAAAGGCTATGAAGTCCCAGGTACCCACTGCCTGGCTGGAAAGACCCACAGTGAATCTTGTCTCTAAACTCCACAGATGACCTTAGATTAAACTTCATGAAGTTAAAGTTTAATGAACATTATTCATTAAATCTCTCAGGTCGCTTGTGTTCTGATGACATATCACTGCCAAGGCATAAGGAGAAAACCTGTTCTGACTTGGAGGATGTGGGGAAGGTGAATCCTTTGGGGGTTCTTCTTGGGCAACATCCAAGGCCAGATCTGGCCTCTGACCTACAGGAATCTCAGGTAAAGTTGCCTTTCAGAATATTTAATGCTAGTGAGAGATGAGCCTGAAAGGACGATGTATGATTTTTTGCATCACCCAGAAATAATGTGAGGTGATTTTCTGATTGAAGGTTGAGCTTTTCAAGTCTAGAAAAAAACACTGGGGGAAAAAGTCTGGTTTTAAATTGATACTCTTAATTTCTATCTGGGACAGTGAACTGTAACAGCACTCACACTTTTCTGAGCACACTCTTTAAAAAAGTGTTCACATGGCTCTCACCTGCTGTTCTTCAAAGCTAAAAGGAGCCCTCACTTTATTTGCATGGATTTGACTCGGCTCAATATTCTTCTCACTGTTTATTAATAGCTTAACAGAAACGCAGAAGATGGATTTTTCTAAGAATGACTATTAAAATAGCCTGCAATATTACAGCATTGAATTTGGGCTTTTTTCCCCTTCTTAAAGTCAAGGGGTAAAAATTACTTCCATAGAACCTCATTCAGTGACACTTGGACTGGAAGACCAAGCTCAGATCCACAGTAAATTACGGATTTATGAGCAGGGCATCAAGCACAATGAGAATCCTGCAATCCTGTGGTGTACTTTGTTCATTTCTTCTGACTAATGTCAATTACTCATAAGTATTCGTTATACAAGGGAAGGAACGAGTCAATATTTGTCAACCACTATCGCTGGCTCCCTCCAGTTTCTAGTCAAGAATTCTTTCCCAATTTTATAACAGATTTAAGCAAGTGGGAGGGGAAATAAAAAATCCCAGGCAGCACTGTGTGGTAAGTGGAGACAAATAGTGACCTCTTAAGGATAGCACCCACAAATATTTAAAATGCTTTTTTGTTCCTTACTAAGAATGGGTATTTTTAAGTTAGCATTACAAGGTCTTTGGATAAAGATAAAGAAAATGAGAATGAGGTTTACTGCAGAACAACAGGAATTTCAGAGTTTAATTTATAGATGTGGGAGCTGGCATGAATAGTTATGGTTGAGCCCTCATGAGTTTAGAGCCCTCAAGGGTCCACTAAAATTAGTGGGAATTGCATAATTTTAGTGCATCTCAAAATTACAGACTTACACTGTAGTGAAATAAAATAGTCACTGGTGGCAAAACATCAGGAGATAATACTGAAATATCTGAAAACCTCATTTTTCATTAAGATGATAATCAGAATTGCTGTGACCAGCAAGTCCATGCTTGGTCTTTTCACCTGCATCCTCCCAGGATCTCTTTGACACTTTGGGGTTTCCTTCCTGTAAAACCGTCTCTAACAACCACGTGCTTTGAGGCCCTGACCAAGTTCACGTCCATCCACCTCACAATTAGCTGCAGTAATGACTCTGCAAGCTAATGAGCCTTCCAGCCCTCCCACAGCAGTCAAAGGCCACCCCTCGCCTAACAGGACAATACGTTCCTGTGTTCCCAGCTACTCAACTCTGACAACCACGTTTCCAGCTGTACTGCTGAGATCACAAAAATGGCATTTTTATGACTTGTAATCAAAAGTGACTACAGAGCAACACTTTCCTCCCTCTGCCTTTAATGGGCGAGCGAGTTCACTCCCAGTGGAGATGACAATAAAACCAAGGCAGCTTTAATTATGCTTGGAAATGATAGAACGTTTCTGAACACTCATTTTTATGGGAACTAGAACTGATAGCCTGGCAATCACTGTAGCCCGTGAGATGCTGAAAGCTGGGCAATACTTTGCCAAGCTTGAAGTACATCTGTGCTTCTGACTTCTGCAATCCACAAGTTATATTATAACCTGTAAATAACAAACAGAGCCTGACAGCAATCACAAAATCAGCACGGTGGAGGTTGGAAGGGACCTCTGGAGATCATCTCATCCAACCCCCCTGCTCCAGCACAGTCACCCACAGCAAGGTGCCAAGGATCACATCCAGGTGGGTTTGGGATCTCTCCAGAGAAGGAGACTCCACAGCCTCTCTGGGCAGCCTGCTACAAGCTCTGACACACTCACACCAGAGAAGTTCTTCCTCCTGTTCAGATGGAACCTTCTGGGTTCCAGTTTGTGCCGTTGCCTCTTGTCCTGTCACTGGGCACCACTGACAAGAGGCTGTCCCATCAGACATGCGAATAAATAAGGAGTTCTTCAGATAGTGTTTATCTTGAAAAACAACCAGCAAGAGCTGCCAATACACCTGAGGTTTCTTATTATTTCTTCTGATTTTTCTACTCAGCAATCCTTGGCACATCTGAGGGAATACAATTCTCAGTCAGGCCAGCGTGGAGAGCAAATGCCAAGTTCCCATGTTGCTGGGATACGTACTGTAAGAAGGGCATCAGCACGACGCAGGAGCGGAACAGGGGCCTCCTCTTGACTTCTCTTCTGAAACAGGCGTTTTGCTGGAATCCATCTTTGATGTTCAGGATATACTGGTTATGCCAGATAACAAACCGAACCTCCTTCAGACCCCGGAAGCTGGCTTCTTCTATCAATTTTACAACAGGCTGTTTCAAGAAAATTAAGAAAAACAAAAGCATACACACGATAAATTACATGTTCAAAAATTAATATTTTTGCCAGAGACCTCCAAGAACTCTCCCTCTACTCCCTTCCCTTCTGCTCTTATTTCCGGGCTCTTAGGCACAAGTACATTCAGACTGCTGAAAAATTTCCCTTACCTGTTTGCAAGATCCACCACCACGGCTGGTTTCACACCTTTCCTGAATAATTGGTGCTGCCATATTTTTGCGTGTGAAATGTAATTCCCAGTATCTAACCTAACACTCCCTTGCCACAAATTATTTACCTTTTGTATTTGCCTGCTGAATGTGAAAAGCAGAAGTCTGCCGAAGAACGAGCCTTTATATATTAATGACATGCGTGCTCCATCACTGGAGGTGTTCAAGGCCAGGCTGGGCTTTGAGCAACCTGGGCTAGTGGGAGGTGTCCCTGCCCAAGGCAGGGGGGTTGGAACTAGATAATCACTCTATGATCCTGTGATTAACATATTCTCTTTTCTTTAATTTTTTGTTTTTATGCCCTAGAGAAATCCAGTTCTTCTAACTTCTCCTCGCAGGTCAAACATCCTAAACTTCTTGTCATTCGTGGTGCTTTCTTCCAGACTGTCCAGTTTTCGCATTTTCTTTTTTCTTTTTCATTTGCAAAGCCCAAAACTGTATAAAGTGCTCTGCCTTCAGCTTTCTACCACACTGACAAAGTTCGTGTGATGCATGAAAGAGAGAAACGTGATCTAGATTACTCTGGTGGAGGCACTCCTGGTGCTGCCAAAATTTTAAGATACTAATGAGGTTTTATTCCAAATATTATGTACAGCTCTGGCCAGGCAGAGGTGAGCTCTTAACTACCATGTGTATTACAAGGCTTGCTGGAGACCTTACTGGAATGGCCTAGAAGTTTCTGGGTTTGGTTTGGTTTTGTCTCACACAATCCAGTCTGACACTGGATGTGACTTGTGTCCACAATTGGGTTGAAGAGAGAAGGGCTGTTTAAAACCTGATATGGAAAACTGTTAAGGACCAAAGGGCAGTGGTGAGACCGGAAGGAGCGTGCACGAGCCACCAGTGAATAGCTTTAAAGGCTGCCCTCAGGCAGCAGACAGCTGTGGGACCACCCCGCTGTGTCCAGTGCAGGCTGCGGACAGCGTGGCGCTGGAGCCTGTGACTGGGGGCTCACCTCCTGCCCTCCACTCTCTTTGGGGACACACAAATGGATGGAACCCAGCAAAGCTAAAGGGTAGCGGTGTTAAAAAGGCTGCAGAAACCTGTCCCCTCCTCTTAAAAACAGATCTGCAGGGATTAGACACAGGCTGGTTTATCTTCAGTTTGACACTGTGCTCAGCCTCTGCCTCCACTGGTGGCAGGGATAATTCAAGCTGCAGTCCAGCAGAGCGGAGTTCCCCTTTTATTGCTTCTTCAGTTCAGCACTGACCTTCTTGATCAACAGTAACTAAGTCACTTTCCTGAAGGTTCAAAAAGGAAACAGACTGAAAATGTATATATAGTCCCTAGGCCATAGAGGTTTGGGTTACAACCCAAAAGCAGGATTCTGGAACTTGTTAAGTACCTCAGAGTATTCTCTCCAGCCAAAGTGGTCCCTGCAGAAGTATTTCCAGACCGTGTAGTAGTTGGAGCTGGAGTTGGGGCAGGAAGGTGTGGACAGCCGCCGCATTTGGTCAAACTCAACAGTTTCATATAATTTCATAACATTCAAATCCACCGAAAACTCATGTTCCCTGGAAAGAACAACAAAACCAAAGAATTCTCACCTTTCGTCATCCATTAAAAAGATAATTCAGAGGTACAACAACCTGGCACAGTGATCTTCAGAGGTGCCCTCGGTCTAGCTGCGCTTGTGTCACACAAGCCCATGACCATGAGGCTGTCCCACGAGCTTGAAGAGGGCACAACACAGGGACAAGTGTGTAGAGCAGGACACTGAAGAGCTGGGGGGGCAAAGTGACTCTTCAAAAGTCTCCAGGGGCAATGGTGGAAAAAACATGGTCTTCAGAACAGAGGGACAAAACCCCAAGGCCAGCAGTCCTCCTGGTCCAGTGGTATTTATTCAGTATGCACAAATGATACAAAAAACAATATACACATCCTTCCTTGACATTTTGAGTGCAGTAAGCAAACACATCGCACAACCATGTTTGATGAAGCAGCCACATACTCTTCAAAAGGTTATCCTTGCAAAAGTTGGTGCTTCAGGGGAGAAAAGAAAACTTAAATGGCTCCAGATGAGGAGCATCTGCTGGCAAGCCACCAGAGAGCTGGAGTATCTTTCATCTGAGCAGCAGGAGAGAACCAGCATACTATGAAAAGGAACCACGACTTCACAATTTTGGGAGTCTATGCTGAGGAACACTGTTGGGGTTTTGCTGAGTAGCTATATTGCTGCTACAGGAACCAACACCAGCATGCAAGCCCCCGTTAGGTGCCTGCCGCTTTCAAAAGGACCCAGTAATGGCAGGGTGCTACCCACAAAGAACCTCTACCTAAAGAAGAAAATAAGTGCATTTCCACTGCACTTTACACGGTCATGTTTGACAGCGACTGCGGAACGCCTCAGCAAACAGTTTCTAATCCTCTTTCATCAGTGTTAAGAGAGAGATATCAAATAAACAACATTCTCAAGCAAACCATGGAGCTGTGAAGCTCTGCTGATCATTGGACACTCACAGGTTTAACAGCAATCAAGAATGTAAGAAATTCATAGAAATTGGAAGATATCACAGGAATATTCATTCCCTACCAACTCGTTTTTGTAGAACCCAGATTAACATATTTCCAAAATAATGCTGTTTACATAATTAGTTTTCTACTTTTATAATCTCTTTACAAGTTATCGGCTTACTGGTGTTCATTGACAGTTGCGAATCTTTGGCAACTGGAAACGTGGCTTTTGAGACTGTGTAACATATTTTCTATGAATTCTTAACAATAAACATAAATCAAGCTGCTACTTGAAATCTACAGTTTATTTTTAAATTAAGTTGGCCCCATCAAGTGACAGCTATTCTAAACATCTACATGATTTTATGAATACAGATTTGCTTGAGAGTGGCTGCAATTCTGCCAGCGATTTCACACTCATACCAGCATGGCTGCTGAAGGGTTTTATTATACTGCTTTCAAAGAAAACCACTAAAGAGTTGCCACTTTAAAAAAATGATGAATCTGGAATGGTCCTTCACTTCTCAACAGGAGAGGTACAGGTGCGTAGCTGTTCATGGTGTTTACCATCAGCAATTAATTGCATTTGGGTCTGTGAAGTGCTAAGCACAGTTGGAAGTACTAAGCACTTTCCTGGCACAGAACAAAGGACAACGTGTCTGTTCCTACAGGCTCACAATCAGGGGATCTGATTGGGTAAATGTAGGCTGCTCTCTTTGTTTTCAATAAGCTTTCACAAAGACTTAAGGAAAAGATACAGAACAGTTCCAAAAGTCAATCAAAATGTCTTGAAAATGCAACTCCACGAGCCACTTCTAAAATTCTTTTGACACAAAAATCATTCTTTTTGCAACTCCTCCAACATGCCCAGACCAAGTGCCAACCAGCATGAGATTTGTCCAACTCATTTCCCAGGGAAACTGTGGATCTCCCATCCCTGGAAGCGTCCAAGGTGATGCTGGATGGGGCTTTGCACAACCTGGCCTGGTGGGAGGTGTCCCTGTCCATGCCAGGAGGTTTGGAATTAGATGACCTTTCAAGTCCCTTCCAACCCCAAGCTGTCAATAATTCTGTGATTTCGGGGACAATTCTCCCCAAGGGTGGCTGTCCCTGCCACTGCAGACCTGCCTGCAGCAGGAACGGCTCCAGCCAGCTTCTTCCTCTTTATGCTGAGAACTCGCTACTGAGAAGGAACGTCTTGCCAGCTCCCCTGCACGTGGTTTTCTGAAACCAGTCGCAGAACCACACAAAGATGATGAAACTTTGGTTCAGACGATGCTGTGACACCAGATCTGCAGAAGGTTTAACAGCGTGTTCCCTGCTCGCGTCAGCGGCACACAGAATCTCCACGGCTGGAATACGAGCACCGGAGGACATCGGCTACTCTGCGTAGGAGGTGGATTCTAATAACCTTGGTCTTCCCACCCAAGCTGCATCCCACCACAAGAAGATGGATGTACTAATTAAAGCTGATGTTGCACAGCCCACTGGGGCAGCAGCCGGCACACAGGCACCCCACGGGCACCCCCGAGGCTCCAGGACACAGCACAGAGGCAGACCTGGGCAGAAGGAAAGCAAGCACCGAGCAAAATCCATGGCCAGGAGAAAAGGACTGAGTAAATGTAGGGCTGAAAAAAAAAAATGCATGCACTTTCTGGAGTGAAAACACCACTAACAGATCTCCCCACCTTCCTGCTGTGTGGTCGTTTTGTTCCGTAACAACAAGTTACAAGCTACTTTATTTGAAAACAATGTGTGAAATCATGAGGAAATCATCTCTCGGAAATACCAAGCTCTGTTATTATGTATAGTATTTGCAGGCAGCACCACAAGCATGATTTTTAATGGAAATTTCTTCATGAATGTATTTTTAATGCTGCTTTAGGAACATTTGCTTTTTCTTATAAAAATGTAGCCCTACAATTCCCAATTTTAGTGCCTAATAAAGCTGTCAGCTTTGAGAACGGTGCATTTAGTGATGGATGTTGTTTATATTGTCCTTTTGAGCGAGGAGCTGGACTCACTGTTCTGGGGTGATGTTGCACCTAAAAGTCCAAGTCCTGAATCAAGACCCCCAGACACTGTGCTGCATATTGTATGAAACAAATACCCCCACAAGATATTTTTCAGTACAAAAACCTCACAACTCGAGCATTCATTCTCACTTCCAACTTCTGTCAAGTCCCATCCTGTAACACGTTTCTCCCTGCTCTAAAGATCTGTGACCTCCAAGAAAGTACAAATAAATAGAAAACCTTTTCTTTATGAGTAAATTATTCTCTTTTAAAGGTGGTAAACCCCAGAGAATCATTTAATTTTATTATAACTTTGTATGTTCCATGTGTTATAGTGGAAAATGATGATGAAAGAAATGTTTGCAGTAGTTTTATGCTAATGCAGTGCCACATGAAGAGAATCTGAAAAGCAACACACACTCTAAATGTGATAAAGATTATGCACCAGCATGCTGAACTCCGCTTGTAAAAATAATCACATATTGGTTAATATCCTAAAAACTTAAAGTCTGTAAAGTTTTGAAGACTGGAAAAGCAATTTCAGAGGCACTTGAAATGTGGCTGGCTTCCAATACGTGACCTGGGTATGTCTAATATGGGCTTAACTGTGTGAAAATATAGTCTCCAGCAGATACGCACAGCTCTGGAGCAGAGCAAGGAGAACCAAAGTAATGCAAAAGGGTGTCTGTGTGCAGCCAGGTTCTAAGTGCAGAACAGGTGGGGAACTGGAGGGGTTTCATGGCTTTCTTCTCATAGAAGAAACACGTAACAGGAAAATCTCACATACAATCCCAGTAAAACAAACCAAAACACAAAGTTTTTTCCTGCAACAACTGAAATCTATGTACAGCTAAGTGTGCATTGATTTATCTCATGAGCTTGCTTTGGCAGGGGCTTGGACTAGATGCTCTCCAGAGGTCCCTGCCCAACCCTACCGCGCTGGGATTCTGTTTAAGATTTGTAAGGCTGGCAGCTAATGACAGCTTACAGTGAAAAGAGATGCTCTAGAAGCTAAACATCTTCTTGTAAAACCTATATAGAACATGCCAAATTATTTCTCAGTGCTAAAAAATGTAATGATTGTTTGGAATTTGTTAAATTTTTGTAGCTCACTCTTTATCAGATTCCTCTCCCTTGTAAGCAAACTGAGGGTGGGATGGCCATTGCTCCTTGACCCACACTGACAATTGGCTGTAACAAGAAGCCAGGCATCAAGCACTGGAACAGCTGATTACCATTCCTCCAAACATTCTTCTAAAAAACCTGTGCATGATACAACACATTAAGTGCTCTTGTTTTCCCATTCCTAAGCAGAACTGCTTGCATTTTCAGTGGTCTGCCTTTTGGTGCATGTTCGTGACACAGAACAGAGCTCTCAAAGCTCCTGGACACCCAGCACCAGCTTTCATCTTATTTAATACAAATCCACCACCCTTCAAATACAGGTGGAATCACAGAACAGTTTGGGTTGGAAGGGAACTTCAAGTTCATCTAGTTCCAACCCCCTGCCATGGGCAGGGACACCTCCCACTAGACCAGGTTGCTCAAAGCCCAACATGGCCTTGGACACTTCTAGTGATGGAGCATCCACAACTTCTCTGGGCAACCTGTGCCAGTGTCTCACCACCCTCATGGTGAAGAACTTCTTCCTTCCATCTCATCTAAATCTACCCTCTTCCAGTTTGAAACCATTACCTCGTGCCCAGGGACACCAGCTCTGGGTGGTTGCTACCTGGGTTTACTTAAAGTTTCTCTTGGAGTTAGAGCACTAGCTCAGAACCCAAAAAAGCACGCCATTTCTTGAAGAAAAATGTGGTGCAGATATTTCTTGGAATGGCATCCTCCACCCATTGCCCTTAGCTGCGAACAGGGAAAGGTTCCGCAGCTCCAGGATGTAACACAGCAGAATTTTCCTGAAACTCACACTTCTGTTAAAATAGGAGTATTTTTTAAACGGTATTTTTATTTTTTCAACTTGGTAAAGTGTTTATGAATGCTACTTCCCATTACTTTAGCAGAAGATTAAGTGACCAAAACAT